ACACATACAAATCTGATGAGCGTACTTACATGGTTGTCCTCAGATATATTTGCTGCAGTTCAGTAAATTCTTCCAGACAGGAGCCTCAGGTTACCAGATCGAAGCACGGTCCTAACACCCACTCATTCAAGCCCCCGTTTCTGCTCTCTCCCCACCGCAATCTCTTCTCTGTTGCTCTCACTTCTACCCATTCTGTCCTGGCTCATTTGCCTTTGTCTGCCATTCTCTCTAAAAGTTCTTTACAGATCTATACCAGGGCTTGAAACTTCTCCAAGAAAGGACTGGACTGGAGTCTTTTAGGATCTGTGGAGCCCCTGGTCTCCGTCACACTGCTGTTTCCCAACGGCAATGCAAGGAAGTGTGGCCGTGTCAGCAGGACTTCTTATGGACAACAGAAGAAGAATTTCATAATAATTTTATGTGTTACTAAATAGCACTAGTGGATCACAGGTTAAAAAACAAAAACAAAAACAAAAAACAAGCAGTCAGGCAGATTTAGACCACAAGCCGTATGGAGTCTTCAATTCTTGATTTCAATGAAGTCCTTTCTTCAGGTTAGATATTGATTTTATCAGGAGCACGTCAATATTATTTTATTTTGTTTCACTTTGGAAGCCTACCAAAAGGTTCCCTGGGCTTACTCCTGGCTCTGTACTCAGCGATCACTCCTGGCAGGGCTCAGGGGACCACACAGGGTGCTAGAGATCTAATCCTGGTCAGCTGTATGCAAGCACCTTGCCTGCTATACTACTGCTCTGGCCCACCATGCTGTTACGTTTGTTTTGTTTTGGGGCCACACCTAGCAGTGCTCAAGGCTTATTCCTGGCTCTACACTCTGAAAGCACTCCTGGAAGAGCTCAAGTAACCACATAAGAGGCGGGGGGATTGAACCCAGTTTGGCCACATACAAGGTAAGTGCCCGGCCCGCTGTGCTATCTCTCCACCTCCTGTTGTTATTCCTTTCAAAGAAACAAATCAAAATAATAATACTATAAAAAAAAACAACAACTCTTAGTTTGCTGAAACTCTGCTTTGACTGTGACATCATATCGCTTCTGCCGTACCCTCTTGATTCAGATTGCTGAGACAACCAGAATTAAGGGCAAGAAGTGAAAACCCACGACTTCCTGAAAGGCCCGTCAAAGAACTGGGGAATAACATCATTTTATTCCAAGTAATTCTACGCTGAACTCTTTTGCGGAAAACACAACGAAATCAGAAAGTCCCAGTTAACTCTTCTTCAGAGAGAAGTTATTTTAAGAGCCTGTCTGCATTTTATATCACTAGGCTTTACAGCTGCAGTTTCTAAGAACTTAACCAAGGTAAGTCCGTATGAGCCACATTCTAATATTACATATTTATTTAACGTTCGCCCCTTTCCCAGCATGCTTCTGCAACGCTGCAATGACCAGGGGCTGTCCACAGGCCTGGTGGGGTTGCGGCTCACTCCTACCGTCTCCCAGAGGCCACCCATCGTTGGTGGTTCCTGAGCACTCAGCTGCGCTCACTCACCCAGGTCTGTTCTGCTGTCAAAGAACTTCCACATGTGCTTGCCAGGGGGTGGCTGGGTGCTCACACACATTGCTCACCAGAAAGAGAAGTGCTTGCTAGTACCCTTTCGGCTGCGTCCCCTTTTGGGGTGCTGACACACCCCCATCTGCGGTGCAACCAGACATGGGGAATCGCACTCTGCAAAGTTGCCAGGCCCCATTTGAAGAGAGCCAGAATCATATAGGGTGCATGTGGGACACGGAGGATTTGGACTTAGGGCCATGGGTGCTTGCCAGGCAGGGCCTCTTGGGCCCTGCCCCATTCCTCCAGGCCTAGCAAGTCACAGTATTTTTCAGTGTCCAAGAAGAGATGATGGGGTCAAAGAAATTACGGCACCCAGGCAGCATGCAGTATGACCCACCTGCGAGGAAAGGTGGAATCACGCCATCTGCTCCCATGTAGAAGGATATGGAGAGCATGGTGGCGAGTGAGGTTAGCAGAGTGACAGATACAGAATGATTTCCCTTAAATGTGCCATACAAACAGAGCAATGAAATTGCAAATGTGCAAAGGCAACAGAAACCAAGAGCTGGTCTGCAGTAGAAAACTTATCCCGGGGTGTGTGTGTGTATATGTGTGTGTGTGGTGGAAGGGGGGTGCGGAGGGAGGGAGGGGGACAGGAGTGGCTGGGAGTGCAGGGACACTGGGGCAATGGGGAAGGGAGGCAGAGGGTGTGGTTGTCAAGAATGATGCCTAAAATAAAAATCTCCAATTAAAACTAAAGCAACAGAACTTCTCTTGCAGCAGCATTTCCCGAATGTGCCTCTTATTACAGCAGTTTTTTTTTTTTCAGTGTATATCCTATGTAGCAGACTTAGAGACCTTATAAGAATAGGTATTAGGTTTCACATCTTGCCTGAGTATAAATGCTATGTAAATTCAGATTTTCCCCCCTTTAAAAATTGCCCTTAGTCCCAAGCTGCAGCTCCCAACCCACTCTCCCTCCCTTCACCCAAGCACACAAGGACCTACCCTAGACTAGCCTTCCTCTAGCTTCCTCTCATTCTTCATTCTCAGAGATGATTTGGATGCAGGAGAAAACAGAGCATACTAGACTAGCAGAAAACTAAATCCAGTTTAGAAATTATTTTCTTTATCTGAGGCACAGAACTTTTGTTCAGAGAGAGAGCACGCGAGAGAGAGAGAGTGTGTGTGTATATGAGAGAGAGAGAGAAAGAGAGAGAGAAGAGAGAGAATGGTTTTGGGCCACACCTGGTGGTGCTCAGGGCTTAGGCTTCCTTCTGGCTCTGTGCTCAGGGATCACTCCTGGTGGGGTTCTAGGTACAATATGAAGTTCCTGAGATTGAACCTGGCTCTGCTGTGTGCAAGGCAAGCACCTTTGCCCGCTTTACTATCTTTCTAGCCCTCTTCTGTTTAATTTTAAGCACTCCTAACATAGTTTGGAAAAGTGAAGCAGGCAAATGATTAATTAAGATTTAATGATAAATTATTTTACCACCAAAAAAGTAATCCTAGGTTCTCTAGAGTATAGAAAGAAAACATAAAGATAATCTAGTTCTCTCATGGATACATACATCCTTCGAAAACACATTCCCCCCCCCCCCTTAAAACAAAAGCATTCTATACTGTAAGCTTTGAGGTGAAAGGAAAAAGAAAAAAACATCTGTAGCTAACGTGCTCACAGGGATTTTTGACCTTTAAGGATTTGTAAGTGCCCGGTTCTCTACTGAGGATCAAAGACCACAGGAGACACTCTCAAACACAAGTAAACGAGTGGCCCTAAGTCACTCTGAAATTATACTGAAAACAAGTAAGTTAACAGATAGGATGCTATTTCAAAAGCAAGGAAGAAATCAGAGTTTACACTTTAAACACTGTCTTCAAGGGACACTAGGAAGGAAGACACCCAACAGAAAACTGATTAGGCTTGGTTAGTTAATCTGGCTGTTCTCCATCATAAGGTTATCCCAAAAGCTGGCTGAACCTTAAATTTCACTGAAGTGAACAGTGCCTAGTACCCAAGGATGTACTGGGCTGGTGAGATGGATGACGTGAGTCATTTGTTTCTGAGTGCCAACACATATGCTGGAGATCAAATATCTTTCATTCACTGCCAACATGATGGTTGGGAAAAATAGCATGAGGTTGAGCATCTGATCCCCAGCAACATCCCACATACCAACTATGATCCCCAGAGTCACAACAAAGCACCCATCTTTAGCACACTGGTATTGTATGCGAAAGCATCTCAGCCAAGTTTGTGACCCTGGTGAGCACTGCAATCAATAAAGTGTGCTGAGCATCTAAATTAAAAGGAGAGCAATGCAATCAAGTGTCTGTGACCTCTGGTCATCACAACACAAAGGGAAGTCAAAGGGGAAATAAACACACACACACACACACACACACACACACACAACACTTCCCCATGACTGTTATACCTCCATTCTGAAAGCCACAAAATGTACCAAGAGAAGCAAACTTTCATCTGAAATATGACATGACTCACATCCAGATCATGAGGTGCTCTCTAGAAAACGATTTGGTACAAGCTGATAATGACCACCGTGAGTCAATGTGTCTCATATTGGATATACCTGCATATCCAAGCAGTGTTGGTATTTCTCAGAAAGTGGAAAAGGAAGCCCTAAAATTTTTACTTGCAACAACAATAAACGAAGGTGCAGACAAATCATGGGAGTGATAGCAAATACTCCTCTGGGGTTACATTTCCACACGGAGGCCTGGCCAGGGACAGGGGAAAAGGAGAAACCAAGTGTGCATGCCCCGTTTTACTGTCTCTGTCTTAGAAATAAGAGAACCTGTATTTAGTGGGGGAGGAGAGAGACAGAGAAAAAGGAAGAAAAACCAACCTTGCTGTGATGATCAGCGTTAGTTGAACATAAAGAAAGAAACATCAAATCACCAATTAGATGGACCATTAGAGCCACAAGCTCTCCTTCCTGGGTGATCTATTTACCCAAATGGAGAGAGCACCAATGCTTAGGAGACACATGGTTCTGGTTCAGAGAACAGAAAAGTCTTTGTGAGAAAGCATTCCGAGACAAGGAACGTCTAGTTGAACCTTCCAGACGCCCCACCTCACCCGCTTCCACACTCGCTGCTACAGAGAACAGCTAACCATGGGCTCACACCTATCCTCATCATGAATCTGAGAATTTTACAATAGGTTTTTTTTTGCAACTAATAATTTTTTAATCCTTGAAACAACACCAATGAGAGGACTCTTATTATCTTCATTTTACCAATGAGGACCATAAGATTCAGAGATGTTAAGTAATTTCCTATAGTTACATAGCTAGAAAAGACAAGACCCAGAATTTGGACCCTAGTAGTCTGGTTCAAAAGCTCAGGCTTTTGAAATTTATCTGCATTGCCTTTCCCGCATTAGTAGCAAAGAATTAGCAAATACAAAAAATGCACGGGATTTTATTTTATTTTTTTTTACTTATACAGGAAACACATACCTTGTACTGTGAGCTCTGCATGAGCTTCAATGGTCTCATTTCCACTCTCCGCTATACAGAAGTAAGTCCCTGCATCGTCCTCTGTGAGTTCGATGATCTCCAGTGAGCCCCCTGCCAGTAATGCCAGTCTTCCGGAGCTGCGTAAGAAATAGTGAACCAGATCAAGGCTAGGAAACAATACTTATGAAACGCGACACATATAACAGAGAAAATGTTTACGTAGTATTCTTCCTTCTTTGCTGCCTTACTAAGACTAACACAGAATTATCAGAACTTAATTTAGTCCAATTTGCTTTGCTCCTATTTCAACATAAAGAGATCACCAAAACAAATCAAGTGTTATAATGAACTATTTAATGCCTTTAGTTATTCCCAAAGGGATGCCACTTGTTGACTAAGTCCACTTCCTTATGGTCCACCCCTGCCTTCCTATTCTGCTCTCTTTTTCCTTCAAATTATGTAATTTTGAAGTCTGGAATAATCTAGGAGTCACTCCATCACAATGTCACAATTGTCATGATAACACTGAGGGCAAGAGTCAACTCATTAACAGTAAGTCATGGGGCTGCAGTGCCCACCAAAAGTTTCCCCCAGGTTCTTGGCTAGGAACAAGAGAAACAGCAGACAGGAAGGAAGAGAGAAACAGGTGCCAGAGAGCAGCTGCCTGACAGTTCGGCATGAATCCATCAGCATCATGTCTCCATCAACCTGGTGCCGATGCCAACCCAACTCCACAACAAATCAAGTCTAACCAAGAGAATATTAAAAATAGAAAGCAAGATGATCCTATTGTTCTGAGGGATTATCACAAAATGAATATTGTGATGAAACTTTTTAAAGTGAAAGAGTTCAATTAATTTAGAGAGTGATAAGCTAAGTCAAACGTAAAGGTCAAAAGGATGCAACTAAATGCTAGGAACCCACGTAAGATCATGGCCAACACTTTAAGGGGGTGGGGCTGGGGTTCTGTGTCTAAGAACACCCTTTTTCATGTGTGAGGCTCTGCACTAGACTCCTGGCACTGAAAAAATTTTTTAAAGATTAAAGAAAGCTCACACTTTAAAAAATCAACTTTCGGGACTAGAGAGACAGCCTGTATACAGCTCAGCATGTGGGGGGCCCAGATTAATGTTGGCACCACATTGCCCCCCCCCCCCCACAAGCACAGTCAAAAGTGAGCCCAGAGCTGGGAGTAAGCACTAAGCACCACCAAAACAAAACAAAACAAAACAAAACAAAAAGTTTAACAGTTCTAAAGGGACTGGTGCTGGGACACTGTACACCTGAAATCCAATCATAAATAACCTTGTAACTTTGTAATTCACAATGATTAAAATAAATTTTGACTTTCATAATGATATATTATAGTAGCCCTTAAAAGAGCTCCATCTAAATTTACCTATTTGCCTTAACTGAACAATCACCCTGTATCAAAATTTCACTCTCTACTTTAATTTTAACAGAACCTATACCCTAACCCTAGCCCAATTCTAATCCAATCAAATCCTTATAGTAACCTTACCCAAGCCCCAGCCTAGCCTCAAATGAATAATCCCCCTGTACTTAACTTTGATTTTCAACTTGAAATATAACCAAACCTATACCTTAACAGCAACAGCACCCTAACCTTAACCTAAATACAATCCACATTCTTACAGTAACTCAAACATAAGTCATGCATACATAGTATTATTTTAAGGTTCCATCTCTAAATTGGTTTTCATTGGCAATACTTTTTCTCTCCAATCTTAACATTTTGAATTTCTCATCTACCTATGCTCAACAAATTACGCTTTTATTATAATTTGTCTTTTCATTAAAAATGTATGATAGAGAAAATGATTGTTCAGTTTGTGCCATGTATTATTAATTCTCATTCCAAGTAAATAAAGTACTATTCTGGCTTACATGTATTTCAGTACCTTGTGAGTTGGGGAATTCGTTTTCCTGAATCTGACATGTAAGCTTAAGTTTCTAGACAAAGGAAAACCAAAAGTTTTGGAACGTATTTAAGTAATAACCCTGCAAGGTCATGACTACTGTTAATCAACTGGGCATCCCAGTTTGGAACATCTATGTTATGCCCTCAAACCCCATCTCTTTTTCTTCTTCTTCTTCTTCTGTTTCTTTTTACTTTTTTTTTTTTAAAAGAAAGTCAGACTGTCATGTGCAGCCCCTGCTTTGGATGTATGTGGCGTCCTGGAAGCTAGACTGCCCTACACTCTTCTACAAAAGGACCCTGAGAGCTCGTATGGAGGTTCTAGCAGGGGAGTGCAGCCAAAGGTATCGGGGGAGACCGTTCTCTTCAGCCTAGCACGGAGCTTCGGGTGGGGTGCACACAGAGCAGTGAGGGAGGAAGGGGACACCCACCCAGCCAGCCAGCTCAGCCGAATCAACTCTGCCATCAACGGGGTTTCAGATGTTGAGCCGGATCACCCTCACCTCCAAATCCCATCTTTATATGACAAAACAGAACACACATAATGGACTAGAGCAAGAACAACTGGAGAATAAGAGAAGAAAGGGAGTGGAGGGTGTGTTCAGATACTTCAGAAAATAAAAATTTACAAAAATAGAAATTCCTTGATTAAACTGGGAAAAAAGTCACAACGAAGCTTCAGAAATGGAAAAGAATGTTCGCAAATGGGAAACAGGCTCTAATCAGCTGGGAGTATTTGGCTGAAAGGAAGATGCTTTGAAAACATTGTTAATGGGTGTTTTAGAAGCTGAGATAATCACTGATCCCCAATAATTATTCCAAAAGTACTCCTTGAACTTTATATTTGCCCCGAATAAAATCAGTCTTTCTTTCTTTCTTTCTTTCTTTCTTTCTTTTCCTTTCCTTCCTTTCTCTCTTTCTTTCCGAGTAAAATCTCTCTCTCTCTCTCTCTCTCATCAGTATTTCTTAATGGAGCAGAGTTTATTATCCTCAAGGCCTCAAAGGAGTCTGAAGGAACAATGTCAAGTAAACAATCCTTGACAGAATTCTTTTAACTTGTTCATGAAACTATATGATTTTTTTTTTCAGAATCACTATGACGTACAAAGTCATTCATGATTGGGTTTCAGGGTACAATGTTCCAACACCCAAGCCTCACCATTGTCCACTTCCCTCCACCAATATTTAAGATCTAATCTTCAGACCTCCAAAGATGGGGGGGAAGGTGGGGGTGGGATGGGGCTGAGAGATGGAACAGTGGGCAGGGCATTCAACCCAGGTTTGTTCCTTAGCACCCTCGATGGGTGCAGCCCGGAGGCCCCTAAACACTGCAGGGTGGCCTGAGTATCCCTGGCTCTGCAGGGCCCAAGGCGCACTGCCTCCTCAGTTCCTTGATGACAACTGAATGGCTGGCCTGGTTGCCCAAGAACCACCAGTGGGGCCTAGGTCTTCTGAGCACTGCTTGGGAGCCCCTATCCCAAGGAAACACTATGTCGTGGAAATTATGCATGGTCAACAGAGCTCAGCCCAGGTTGCTGGACAGATGGTGCTTTTGTGTGTGCTTCTGTCCTTGATAATCTGCTAGTGATTAACCAGGGACAGTTAGGGTGCTGTATTTTCTGGCCCAAGGAAAAGGTTTCTGAGCAGACCCATAATACATAACTTAGTCAAGAAAAAAGAAGAGCAGGGGAAGGGCTAGTAGCAGGAAGCTTGGCTTACGTAGAATCAGTGTAATGGTTCAGAATGAAAGAGAAAGTAACTATGGAAGTACCACAGAGAAGACAGTAAATAGTGACCATGTTTTTATTGTTTTTTTTTTTGTGGGGCACACCTGGCTGTGCTCAGGGATCACTCCTGGTGGGGCACAGGGGGCCACATGCAGTACCAGGGAGCAAATCCCAGCTGATTGCATGCAAGAGAAGTGCCTTACCCACTGTCCTGTTCCATGGTCCCTGACCATGCTTTTAAAAAGCTAGATGATGCAGATAAGATGGGGGATCAATCCACTCATCTAACAGAGAGAGTGCTGAGTGACTGAAAGTATCAGGTAGCATCTGGGAATGCAGCAGCGAGCAACATCACAATCCGTGCTGCAGTGCAACTTAAAGAGAAAGATGGCCACGACAGGCTGTAACGCCAGGAAATTATATGCCACCAATTAGGAATGGGGAGAGTTTTCTAATCAAAGTGACCCTGCGGCTGAGACCTAAAGAATGAATAACCACTAAGTAATAGTGGGTGGCTGCCGGGGCAAAGGGAGAAAACTATTTCAGAAACCTGTTGCAGGGACCCAGATGCATGTGTCTCAGTGAGGCCCTGGTTTCGAGCTCCTTTATGAAAATACACACACACACACACACACACACACACACACACACACACACACACACAGAGCTCACAGGGATGGGTCCATGTGAGTTTGTTCCCTGGCATCTTACAGACCCCAAGCACCACGAGGAGACTCTGAGGACTGCCGGCACTGATGGGGCTGAGTGACATCACATCATCAGCCGATTGTTGACCATCAGCCGGGAACAACCACAGTATGACTGTAAGAATCCGAAAATATCATCAGAGCTAAGCATAAAACGAGGAGAAAAAAAAATGAAGGCTAAGGGTAGAACCAGACCACTGGGAGTTTGAAGAGTCATCTTAAGAATTCAAGTTCTTCAATACTATGGGAATCCAATAAACAGTGTTTTTTTTTTTTTTTGGTTTTGCTTTGTTTTTTAAAGTGGGCCTAGGGTTGACAATGAGGTGGTTAGATCTAGGCTTTGAACGGGCTTCTCTGGCAGATGTGTGAGATGCATTTGGAAGGAACCCCAAAGTACAGATGGGAATAAAGTCTGGGTTGGGGCAATGATTGGGGTACAACAGATTGAAATGGAGTAGAAGCATCATCAATGGATTTCAGAGATTAAGAAAGGAAAAATGACAGAATGTAGATGGATTAGATAAAGAAGTCTGAGTAAGAAAGCCAGGGAAACCTTCACAGTTGGGAGAGTAAAGGGAAACTACTGAATTTATGTGTTTTGCTTAGAGTTTCTCAAGGGAGACTCAAAAAATAAAGAGGAGAGAAGGAAAGGAGAAAGTTTAGAGGATTTAGAGGGGCTGGAAAGGATGACACCTCTTAGACACATCTTCCTCAGAACAGGAGAAAAGGAAGGGGGAAGTTAAGTCTTACATACTCTGGCACAA